GCAGCAGCAGCAGCAGCAGCAGCAGCAGCAGCAGCAGCAGCAGCAGCAGCAGCAGCAGCAGCAGCAGCAGCACAATAGCAATTGCAATCAGCGCATCACTAAAGTATATGGTATGGCCTTTCATTCATTCTAATACTTACACTTTCATCATTCAAAATGCAACAAACTCCTCATTCCTGATTCTTCACTCTGTTCCACTTCAAGGTTCTTATGTCTTTTTTTCTACCCATTTTTAATTTCACTTTTCATTCTATCACTTTATTGCTATACTCTTTCTCTCTCTCGCCCCTTTTCTCTTCCTCTCTCTCTCCTCCTCTACTCACTGTCTCGAAGAAAGTAACCTTCATCATTGGTAATACTACCAGGTTCACTGTTTAGTTCCGCTGGATTCCATTACAGCCTTGCATTCTTATCGTCTGGAGGTATCACATATCACTAAGATGGCCAAACGATGTCCGTCATAGTGTGATAAGTTATGCGAGCAAAAATTGATATTTTAAAGATTGAAGAAAATGACTCGAATAAAACACTGCGTACTGCATGAGCAAAAGAAGCATGCGTTGATAAAAAAAGGTTAGTAATTGGAAAAACAACGGGATGAAATGAACTAAACACCTTGGCATTAACATCGTTTTGCGCCACTGCTTGAGTTTAGTGTAATCATAAATGTGTCAAATTCGATTCTCATCATCACTAACATTGATTTCAATCTATCAGGAACCTTCTACAATTCAAAAAGAAATAGCAAATACCTGCTACAGAAAGGTGGAACGGATGTAAAATACTGTTAAAAAACAGTTAGCTGGCAACAACAGAGCGATTCAGTTTGATTATAAATTAATAATATTGCTTCCTATATTTTGAAACATAAAAACTAATGAGAAACGGAAAAAGTACCGAAATTTTTTGGGTATGATGAGGTGGTGACACAAAGTTCTGATAAAATGTTGTTCAAGTTCTGATGAAATGTTGTTATTTACTTAAACGATATTAAGATTAGCTACTTCTTGGTATGTTTTCCAAGATCGGCACTGCCTGAAAGCGCAAAGTACAAATGATGGAACACAGTAGAATTTATCTGGATAAGTATCATTTCAATATGTCTACAACTTATCCGACACTTTCATCTTCTTGACTTGAAAAAAAAGAAAAAAAAAACAGAGAAAGGTGGACTTTTTCTTTTCCCTTTAAGTGCTTGCTGTTTTTATGTTGAGAAAGATTTCCCCCAATTATTTCAGGTTCTATGTTTTAAAAATTCCAACCAAGAAAAAGGAAGAGGAGCAGTACAGTGGGAAAGTGGTAGCTTGACAAAGCATTGTAGTATGTGACGAAGTTCGGAAGTAATTCATATATGAACACCAGGTTTTTTTTTAGCAACAAAATTTGCCTTCATCCGGAGGACATAACCGAAGCTAATTTCTTTATCTACGATACTTGAACATAACGCCAAACATGTCCAAATTTGTGGTTTTTTTCTTTTTTTGTTTTTCGGGAAGAATGGAAATCATTTTTCATCATATGAAATTCCGAACTTTAACATGTAATCGCAATATGTTTGTTGAAAAAAGTAATATCTTAAAATGTGACAATTCATGATTGTCACATTTCAACTTTTTTATCACTAATGTTTTGTCAATTAGTTCACAAGAAAACAAATTGGGATGATAATGGGTAAAAAGATAAAAGGATCTATAAATTAATTAAAAGTTGTTATTGAGATTACTACGTTAAATCTTCCTCTTTTTTTTGTGATTTTGAAAAGTTTTTGAAACGCTTGTTATGAGATGGCGATGCTAATTAAATTGTTAGAGAATATGCCGTACGGATAATAAAGTATTGCCGCATTGATCATTGTAAGTGCTTTTTTTTGTGCCTCAATACACTTTTTACATATCCTTACCTTCCTTTTCAAATCTCTATGCATAATTTCAAAAAAAAAAAAAAAAAAATGTACCAATGGTTGAAAAAAACAACTAATTAATCAAGAACTGTGGGTGAGCATAACTAATGTGTTATAGATTGAATAGCTTTTTTTCGGTCACTTAAATTCGATTTAAAAAAAGTTAAAAAGTAGAAATGAAAAATTTTCAAATTACGAAACTCTATGCAAGGAAAAAGCAGGAGCAGCTGAACAATCATGAATGACTGAACGAATCATTCTGATGACCTGAATCGTTTCTTCTGGGATTTCAGTATACGGGATTTGAATTCTGTTCATCTAATATATAAGCCAACGGAGAACCATAGATATATTTACTCTATGCCTTTCTTTTCTTTTTTCTTCCTTACATTCAAGAGATCGAAAGATGATCAAGATGAGAAATGAAAATATGGTGAGTCAGCGCTAAAAATGCTTAAAAGTATGTTGAAATAACAAACAGCATGTGCAACAGCATGTAATGATAACAAACTGTCCTTACTTATCCGCAATGTCGCAATCTCCTCCTGTCCACTTCCACATCTTGTATGGAGTAGCGGCGATTTCTTTCCACTGATAACAGCATGTAAGAAAGAAATTGAATAATGGCAATACATCTTTTTCAGATGTAAATAATTCACTATTTGTCATTTGAAAATCAAAGATTTTAGCTGTACGAACAAAAAGTTAGGACGGTACAATTGATGATTAATCGAAACTTTTCGGAAATGTGTAATGCTTGAAAATAGCAATATTGATTGATTTTTTTTCCCAAGAAGCAAAACTGTTACCCATTTAATATGTTTGGAACAACAGGACACATCATCCAAACAATTCTAAACATATGGCACAAAACAAGGAATACAGATACTGTCCTCTCTCTGTCTCTCCCACACCCCGTACATCGTGTTCCCTCTCGCGATGCTGAATAGGAAGGAAAGTACATTTCTTGTAAACCATTCATTTGGAAGCCGTTCTAATTTCACTCTCAGTTACTTTCAGTTTTTCTTTTTTTTTTAATTTTTCACCTGTGACAAAACTTGTTTCCTCTTCCCCATCCCTTTTCCATCTTCCTCCCACCGTCCCTTCACTAAATTTTCGTTTTCCCCTTTCCACAGATGAATCTGATCAACGAGAAAATTCACAAACTTTGTTTTTGAACTTGCTTAATTAGAACCACGACTTAGTCTCATCATGATGAATCAAATTAAAATTGGGAAGAGTTATTTTTCGGTTAAGGTATTTCCGAAGAAATTTTCCAACTCTCCTCATTACGCTCACTTCATTAACGACGATGTGCATACTTATATTGCTCTGCAATTCCAATTCTTTCTGCGGAGCCATTTCTTTCATTTGAAGTATTCTTGAAGTAGCAACAAATTTGCTTAGGTTTCAAATATTAAGCATAAATTAGCATTGAAGTAAGTTGATTAACCTAATTATTTCCAAATCTGCTAAGAGCTAAATAAAGTTGGGTTGAAAACTGGAATTGATGTGCCGAAATTATCAACCAATACCTGAATCAAATTTCACTTAACAGTTCATGTCATGAAATACTTTTCTCAATTAATCAAATCAACTTTTTTTTGGAAAAGTTATACTAAAATGTTTTGATTATTAAAAACATTCCTTCTTTCCGATATATTCCGTCAAAAATGAGAGCGTGTATGAAAGGCGGACATAAAGACTTGTCATGTCAAAATGAAATTTTCAAAATAAAGGACTTCATATAAAAATATGGAATTAAAATCTTTTATTAAATTGAAAGTAGTTTTCGCATTAATCAAAATGAAAATTCTTCCCCCTTCATTAAATTTACTGATTGCACTTTCTACTGCTTATATACTAACTTATTATTGTTTCTACTTTTATAATTAGGGAGGATTTCGACAACTAAGGATAGAAGGTATTAATCTTCAAGAATTATAATTTTCGTAAAGCTCACGAAAAAAAACTCCGCACATTTAGAAAAAAAGAAAGGAATATCTTAAAAAAAAGTAAGAATGAAAATACAAAAATCGAAAAAAAAGGTCCAAAAAGCAAATTTGATTCGGTAAATTTTCTTTTTAATCTGAAAGAAAAAAGTAATAATTCATTTCCAGTCATTTTCACGACTATATACTATGGAGTAAATTAGATTAAAAGAAAAGGTCAGGTTGCGAATTACATGTATGTATCAAGAAAATGCCTTATTTCAAATAGACCAAGAATCATCGTAAAATCAAAAATCTTTTGTTAAAACAACTGATTATCTTTAAAGAAATTAGGTAATTCATTAAGATCTTTTTCAAAAAAAAAAGAAAATTGAGATTACATTTTATAGACACTCAGAACTTTCGAGTATTAATGCATAAAAAAACCCGTTTAAAGACTTGCTTTTTTTTTTTAAGTGATGTAATAAGTTACAAAATATACAGTAGGGATGGATAGGAGAATAGTATTTAAAAAATTATATAAATAGGTAGTCGGAAAAATGTAGTTTTTAACGACAGCTTTTAATTTATCGAACATTATATTTAAGAACGGAACTAGAATGACAACAGCATAATATTGATAGTTAGAGAAAATGATAACAGCTGGAATATGACCTCATCACTTTTACCATCCTTTCCCTTTCTCCCACATCACTTTTTAGAATTTGAAAAAAAAAAACAACATACCCAAAAATAAATTTACAAATTCAGTTCAGTTGAAATTTATCATACTTGACATTTGCTAAGTCTTTCCAACCTATATCAAAAAGACAAAACTAAAGCTTAGTAGGTTACAGATTTCCGCCTTCCATTTTCCGATGCAAATTGCATTATTCGCATTTGTTAACGCTATAAAGGTGCACGGTCAATTTCACAAGAGAAAACAGTCGTAAAAAATAACACCAGGAGCCACAGCTCGAAAACAGGGAATCAACCAAATGGGATTGGGGAAGCGAAAATCGAAAGCAGAATCGGGCAATTTTAGATTACCGTAAACGCTAGGTGGTTTCCTGGGTTATCTTGCATTCTATCAATAAAATTCCCACATAATGAAATCACTTTGGCTTTTTCCGCCAGCCTGACACTCAGTACCTAATTTCACCAATTTTTTTTCTTCTCTATAGCTTCATCACCTTCTTTGTTTTTCGGAAAAATAAGCGGGAAACATTTCTTGACTGTTACAGTTTCGAGGAAAAATTATTTTGGGATTTAGGGGCTAAATTATGACAATATCGTTACGTTGTGTGCTACTTCCAAAACAGGGCAGGAAAATATGACATTAGTGACATCAGTTAGATCAACAAAATACACCCAGTTGTTATGATGATATTGCAGCTCACTGTACTTTCAGCTATAAAGGACAAGAGGACGAAAGGAGTAATCTGCAACACTTCAATCAGTTTTTAAAGATGAATTCATTTACGAATTTCTTTTAAATTATGAGGCATTATAGGTCCTTTGATGCTATCTGCAGAGTCAAAAGTTAAAAGTCACTTAGCTTTTAGATGTAGATTAACCTAAAAAGGATAAAAGTGGTTTGGGATAAGCTGAAACAAGAGACTGGAAATGTGCAAATTGTTGAAGGAAAATTGCTGAAAATGGGATTTTTGTGCTCTTTTCAGTATTGTTACTTAACTTTACATTCACTCACTTTACTCTCAGAGAAGGTACGGGGAATGGGAATACTTAATTACAAGAGGGAACCGGAATACTTAATCACAAGAGCGAATACTTAATTACAAGAATGATGACAATAATCTTGATAATGACGCCACTGGCGGTAGCTGCAGTGATAATAATAACTGCTACTAATTGGAATGCTGCTATAGAAAGTGGAAATAGCTGTAACAAGGTATCGTAATAACCACAATATTGAAACTGAAGATAACTAATAGAGAGTATTGACAGACTGCTCTGCATCTCCAGCTCTATTTCTATTCAATTAGTAATCTATTCAATTCACTCCATTACATTTCTCTTAAACTTAGCCTGTGTTATAAAAATACGAGCAGAAAGATCATTAATCACATTTTTTATTCAGAAAACATAAAAGTCAGTGGTTGATAGAAGAAAGCCGCATAAAAAAAGAAACTGAAAAAAAAGTGTAGTATTGTTATGTCACATTGTATTCAGAATATTAAGATCCTCATTCAGGGAACAAAACTAGCCAATATTAAATAAAACAGAAAATAACGCTGACCAGACTGGTATTTATACGACGAAATCTAAAGTTCATGGTAATATTAAAAATTAATCATTAGTAGAATTTAAAAAGAATTCACAGTTCATAATATAAAAACCACTCCATGTTGCAAAAAACATTAAATCGATTCGAAATTAAAACGACACTTGATTACCTAGCTGTAATTATAGCAAATTGATATGCAAAATTCTATGGAAATTTTAGAAACGGAGATCAGAGTATGACTTCGACATTGGTAATTTCCGCCATAAACGACGAGCAAAAAAACCACTTCTGTTCCATCCCTCATCTGGAAAAAGAAAATTGAATAAACGGCAAATTCCAATCAGCGATGTTGATTTCGAATCATGAACAATTCCGTAACAAATTTAAGTAATTAAATAGTGAAATATTTTATGCTAGTCTTAATTAATTCAATGCTTTCAATCAAAACTAACCATTACGATCCTTGCTTTCCACGTTATTTTGACTCGAAAAACGCTTATTTTTAACTAAGTTGCCAACGCGCGCACGATCTCTCATCATTGTTTGTTGAGTCTTGAAATGAGAAGCAAAAGTAAACATTCGTTGGGAGTAACAATCATTGATAATCATTCCTTAATGATATAAATAAATACTGGACTTTCTTGCTAATAACTGGTCAGTTTGTACTGATCAGTTTTGCAATTCATACTGTTTGCTAATTTAAAAAAGCAAACAGAAGCTAAACTTTCAACAGAGTTTGGTGCAAAACTTGACTTGTTATAAAAGTGATACCTGTGTCGCGCCAAGTGTCGCCACAGGGTCGATTTGTACATAAACGGTACGGGAAACTTCGACTGATTTTTGGGGTAAATTCCTGCTACTTTTAGTTTCCAAACTGCAGTAACTTCCTGAAAGTGAAGCTACTGTCGTGCACAATGATATTGGTTGGGGCTTTTCTGCATTCATTTCCTTTGGAGCTGTTGAGGAATTCTGAAAACATCGAATTTCGATGGACAGGTAGGCCAAATGAGGAAATCCTATGCATAAAATACAGATACTTCCAATTCTTGCAAAATCCAAGAAAACCTTTAATCAGGTGTGATTTCTCAGTATTACAAGCTTCTAAAGAAAACAACTAGAGCTATGGAAAAGCTTGATCATCACAGCTTAGACTGCAAAATGCAGTACTCTGGTTCTTATGTTGTAATTGTGTAGACAATTTCAAACCAAAGAAAATAGCTGTATATTTCTATGATTCAATGAAACTTACGTTCAATCTTTCAGCCCTAGATGGCCCCTTCCTTGACAGTAGCAAATCCGTTCCCATTGATGCTGAGGAACTTTCACTTTTTTTGATAGGTTGCCGATCAGGTGTTGCCGAAAACAAGCTGAAATATTACATTCACTCATTGTTTCCCTCATTTTAAATATTCGAAATACTGAAAAAAAGAGCTATCATAACTAACACGTCATATTTGATTCAATATAGAATTCCATTTAGAAATGAAATTTCAAATCTAATATTTTAAACATGCCACTATGAATCAAAAAGATAAGCTAACTTCACAGCACTGGAATATTCATCGACGGTTGGTATAGCGGTCCTTATCGGCGATTTCCTATCGTAGTTTGATAGACAAGATTCAGTAACGTAAGGACTAACAGCTGACCAAGTCGACGGTACTGCCAAGTTTTCTGGCAATGTTGTCCAGACTGAATGGCTGAAATGTACTTTTCCACTTTCATACTATATAAAAAATCATTAACCGAAACACGAACGAAATTCAGAATAAAACCTCGAGATAATTTTCTTCATGAAATATGGTCCAAATTTACGAAAAATAAATATATTTCATAGAGATATTTCAATTGTGACACATCTTAGATCTACCATACAAAAATCAAGTAAAAATAAAAACCCTAGTTAGACCTAGATGGAATTGTTGGGCTTGCTCTATCGGTCAATCCCGAATTTCGTCGTTCGGCTTCAAGTAAACGAGCTCGACTCTTTTTCACTGCTGATTCGATACTGTCAACCATAGGTCCCGTGCATTTGGCATCTTCTAGATTGAAATGATTCGCGGATCGTTCACCGTCATATTTCTAGGAAGCTCAATACAATAGGAAGTGAATCGTAATATTTCATTTTTTCGTTACTCATCAATTAATTACCTTCCCCGTATTCAATTGTTTTCGCCTATCACCGTTTTTACAAACAATGTTATTAAAATATTAAAATCCGTTCGTTTTTAAAACCACCAAAGTACTAGAATTGACTTTATCCCAGAGTAACGAATTTAACCGAAAATAGGATAAAATTGAGAACTATAACATACCGAAAATGAACCTGAAATCGAATTTTGTAGGCTTCTCGTGAGTATGTGGCGAGCACGTATAAGGCTAAATTTTTTGGGTGGTAATTTGATTAGGCCAGGTAATCTATTCACAGATTGTGCAGATAATGATGAAGCAAACCCTAAAAAATCATGAATTACGTCGAAGTACACTGTCGAGAACATAATGCTTGCACTTGGTAGGCAATCATTTTATTCACACAACATCTTAAACTTCCTAATTGCATGTGGAATCACGAAAAGAATGCAACAACTATTAATCTGTAAATCAGCAGATTCATGGGACCTCTGACAAAGTATTTCCAAATCACGATTTGCAAATTTTTTAATTGTTTTTGACCAAAATTTTCCAAACCATCAAGGAAATCATTCAAGACTGAAAAAATAAACACTGACTACTGACCTTGAGTTGTGAATTCTGATTCCTGTAAGCCATCAGATATTACTCGTTCGATTTGGTTGGTGTTATCAATAGATGATGCTGCCACTACCTAGAGATTTCGGAGTTAATTAACGCTTGATTTTCATCCAAAAAAAGAGAAAAGGAAAAAATGCGAAATGAACAAGACAAATAAGGATTAAAACTAACTGTTGTTTCTTGATTCAACATTCCTGGTAATGCCAGTTTATCCAGCGATGTCGAAAACTGAAATAAATTTAAGTACAAATATGAATAAAAAAGTAATTTAATAAATCAATTAATCAAATGATTGAGTAAAATTTATAAATTAATAAATAAGTGAGGTAAATGAACTATTTAATTAAGTAAATTACTCAATTAATAAATAAATGAATTGAATAAGTTACTCAATTAAATGGAATAAGTAAAGTGAATAAATGAATAAGTAAAGTAAACAAATAAATAAATGAATAAATGAACAAGGACATAATTTATTTGTTAATAATAAATAAAATAATGTGAGAAATTAATAAAATTTAAATAAAAATAAATAAATGAATATACAAAATTCAAATGAATACTTGTGAAAAATATGTCTAAAATCACAAAAAATTGAAAAATTGGTTGAAATAAGTAAAAACTTGAAGAAAAACAAGAAAAAAAAATTTAAATCGTCCTTCTGGCTAATATACGATGATGCCACATTATATTACTCACTTACTTTACACCCATTCAAATCATTGATCGATTTCCTCACACCACCGATAATGCGTTTCGCACGATTCCAGTTTTTTTCTCGTGATGAATTTAAATATCTCGATTCCATTCCTAGTGACCTTGAACGTTTCGGGAGACGCCTATCGCAAACAATTATAAAGTATTGGATAAAACTGGAAGAAATATTTCAAAGTTTGATTAATTACAATTAGTTTTCCTTTTTATTACAGAATTAAAACTTTGGACTTCTTTGTGATTTTATTGCAGTTGTGGCGATACAACATTACATCATCGAAATCTTAGGATTGTTGCCCAAACCGAATAAACAAATGTATTAAAATTGCTGGACTAAAAGTGTGGCCGAAAAACTCGTACCGCTGTAAAGATTGTATGAAGGATCACTGCATGGCTAGTACCATTAAGATTTAGAACAAATTACTAAGAACAGATGGAGCTAATCTTTTCGTACTGTACCGGGAAGTATACTACACTGGAATGGTAATTCCAAATCCAAAAAAAATCCAAAAAAGATCAAAATTCCAAATGATCTGGTTAAACGAATCTTATTTTTCAGGAAAACGGTTCACAACTAACCCAGATTGTCCCCGAAAACTGCTACCCTCGTAATGTTTGCTCCCAGCACTACCCTTCTTTTCTTGCTTCACAAATCGTCCCTTAATTTCCCGACCGTTAACAGCACACCATTTTCGAGTCCGCACAGACATTTCTCTCTAAAGCACTTTCAGCTATCGAATGGTCTAGAAACTTTGTTGATCAAAGATTCTGATATGAGTATACTTCGCGGTGTTTTCGGAATATTTCGAAACCAAAAAGCAAGCTCTCGTTAATTCTAGAACTCGGAAAGTTTGTCTGGTTGCGCATTTATTATAGAGATGCCAGAAATCACATAATCACGATAGCTTGATCTTTGTGCGATCAATAATTTCAGTATTAAGGTGAGCTATATATTAACGCCTTAATATTATACGATAACGCCAACGGTATTCGCACTTTTGTCATTTGTTCTTGCTTGATCTGACAGTTTTAATCGTTCAGCCTAATTTCATTTTTTTTTTGAAGTTCTTGGGTGAATTTTTGGAATTTCGAATCATTTCAATTTAAAAAATTCAATCATAACTAACCCTTCGGATGATTTCATCAGTCAGTTGTCTTGGCCAACTATCTGCACGTAGTAATGATTTACTTGATGTAGCACTGCTCGAGAAAACTGGAATACTGCGATCCCTGGTGGATAAATTGAACAGGACATCGGATGATTTATCCCAATGTCCAACGGATAACACGGAAGGTTCACTCTGCGAATGCAGACATTCCTCACCCATATCATTCATATACGGCACAGAGCACGATGCCATCGATGGAGCATTAGCTGAAAATAGTATACCGTACACATATATATATATATATATATATATATATATATATATATATATATATATATATAT